CTGTTCCAGGTGGTTTGAGCCCTTTGTCATCCAGTGGCTCGATGAGAACGAGGAGGTGTCCCGGGATTTCCTGCACGGGGCCCTGGAGCGAGACAAAAAGGATGGGGTGAGAGGCAGGCCCATAACCAAGCTCAGGATCTACCCACAGTAGCCTCACTCCCTCTAGGATCCAATGGGGGCAAAAATTACCTTTGGGGTGGGGCCAGTTTCTGAAACAGGGCTGCCATCTTTGTCTCATTCAGGGTTTTCAAAGTCTTTTGTTCATTCAACAAATATGGAATTTGAGTTCATCAAGCCCAACCCCAGTCCCCCACCCCCACCCCATGGTCTTTGTATCCACCTTTAGAGGTCGGCCCTGAGTCAGCCTTGCCCTCTGCATCTCACTCCAGAACAGTGGGGCTTCAACAGCCTGGTCAGGCACACCTTCAGTCCTGCAGACACTGCAGTCCTTGACCCTCGTTTCTGGATCTCCCCAAGAAGAATGGGAGGGATGGGCTCTGGGGCCTATTGGCTCTGACCTTTCTCCTCCCTCCTGGCCTCTTTCCCACTGTAGTTCCAGCAAACCTCGGAGCATGCACTGTTCTCCTGCTCCGTGGTGGATGTCTTCTCCCAGCTCAACCAGAGCTTTGAGATCATCAAGAAACTTGAGTGCCCTGACCCCCAGATTGTGGGGCACTACATGAGGCGCTTTGCCAAGGTGCGGGAGTGGGAGTGGGGGATGGCGTCAGGGTTGGGGCTGAGGCTGGAGTCGGCCAGGGTTGGAGTTGAGGTCAGGGTTAGGGTTGAGATTGGGATTGAGGATGAGGTTAGGGTTGGGGTTAGCAATGTCATTGAAGTCGGAGTTGAGGTTGGGGTTGGGGTTTGAGTTGAGGTTGGAGTTAAGGTTGAGTTTAGGTTGAGACTGATGAGTTTAGGGTTGGGACTGATGACGTCATTGAACTTTGAGTTGAGATTGCAGTTGGTGATGTCATTGAAGTTGGAGTTGAGCTGGGGGTTGAGGTTGGGGTTGAAATCAGGGTTGGGGCTAGAATTGAGACTAGGATTGGGGTTGAGGTTGAGATTGAGGTTGGGGTTGAGGTTGGGATTGACAGTGTCATTGAAGTTGGGCTTGGGGCTTCGGTTGAGGTTGGAGTTGAGGTTGAGGTTAGAATTGAGGTTGGTGACGTCATCGAGATTGCAGTTGAGATTTCGGTTGGTGATGTCATTGAGGTTGGAGTTGAGGTTGCATTTGAGGTCAGTTGTGGTTAAGATTAGAGCTGAATTTGAGGCTAGGGTTTAGAGTTACTATTAGGGTAGAGATTTGGTTTGGCATTGAAGTTGGAATGAGTGTTGGGATTTATGTGGAATTTGGGTGGACCTTGGGGTGAGTTTGGGAATTGGAGTCATTGGACTGGGTTGGGGTTGGGGTTTGATTGGATTGGCTGTAGGCTGGATTGAAGATGGGGATTGTAACTAGGAATTGGGATTAGATTAGGGATCAGGTCAGGTTTATGGCTGGGGCTGGGCTAATATGATGGTTAACTACTCTGAAAAAGAGCTGGATCCACATGCAATAATTGTCCTCATCTGGTGGTGTCTCCTCATGAGAGCCAGCCTGGGTCTCAATGGTCATCCTGGGTAGAGAATTTGCCCAGGCCAATAGGCTATCTTAGGTGCTAATGGGAGTTCAGGTCCAGCCCTGGTCTCACCAGCAGCTCATGGTGGGATCTTGTGACCTGGGGCCACCCTGGCCACAGTCTTTCCTCTCACCCACCCTCTGCCCGACCTACTCTGTGTCCTTTACAGACCATCAGCAACGTGCTCCTCCAGTACGCGGACATCATCTCCAAGGACTTTGCCTCCTACTGCTCCAAGGAGAAGGAGAAAGTGGTGACCTGGGGGGGCCCCGTCCTTCCCTCTCCCTGCCTCAGAACCCCCAGAGCTCCATCTTTCCCAGGGCACTGACCCTGGGTTGATGTTGGTGTGTGTGTCTGACTGTATTGATGATATGGTGTGAATGTGTGTGTGTGATCTGACTGTGTGTCCAGCTCTGTGTCTGGGTATGTGGAATCTCAGTGCATGTGTCTGACTGTGTGTTGTCTCACTGTATTGATTGATTGGATATAGTGTATGTGTGACTGCATGTCTGACTCTTCATGTCTGGGGTGTTCTGCATGCGTGCATCTGGATGTAAGAGAATATGCTTTCAATTTGTCCACCCCAACCTCAACTCCAACCTCGATGACATTACCAACACCAACCCTAACCCAAACCTCAACCTCAATCCAGCCTCAACCCTAGCCATGATTCCAACACTCATCCCATTACCAACTCTGACCTCAACCCCAACCCTGACCCTGATTCCAACCCCCACCTCAACTCCAATCCCAGCCTCAACTCTAACCCCAAACTTGACCACAACCTCAATGACATCACCAATGCCAAGCCTAAACCCAACCTCATTCCCAACCTCAACCTCAATCCCAGCCTCAACCCTAACCCTGATCCTAACCCCAGCTCTGACCATTTTTGTGAGTGAAGCCTTCAGGGTGTATGTGAATGTGCAAAGCTTTGGGTCTGAGTAGGAGATTGTGGGTGTGTGACAATGAATCCCCTTCCTGGTACACCCAGAGAACCAGTCTCTCTCTCATACCCACCAGGTCCAGCTGAGACCCTGGTGGAAATTACTTGAGTCCTTCTCCCTGCCTCCCCATCCCTAGAATTTCCCCCAGCAGCCCCAGGAACCTGGGCCCAAATGCTGTCTTCCATTCTCAGACCCCACTGTGAGACCCAGCTTCCTCTAGACCCAGACCCTGAAACCATCTCCAAGGTCCCTGGAAGTGGGTGGGGAGGCTCTGGGGGAGGGCTCCCGAGATCTAACTCCGCCTCTGTTCCCATCTCCAGCCCTGCATCCTTATGAACAACACTCAACAGCTACGAGTTCAGCTTGAAAAGATGTTTGAAGCCATGGGAGGGAAGGAGGTGAGGTGGAGTCCAGGCAGGGCCGGACATGGGGCAGGATCACCACCACCCCTCTGTCCCTGCAAGTCCCAGAGCTACTCCCTCAGACCCAAGCAAGCTGCTTGACCATCTGTGCCTCAGTTTCCTCTCCAGCCCCTCGAGATCCTTTCCCCTAGGTTAAATGAAAAAATGCCCAGGAATATGCATACTCCATAAACCAGACCTGACATGCCTCCTCCCTCCTCAGCTGGATGCTGAGGCCAGTGACATTTTGAAGGAGCTTCAGGTGAAACTCAACAACGTCTTGGATGAGCTCAGCCACGTGTTTGCTACCAGGTGGGGACATCTCCAGGGCTAGGGGCAGGGGAAGTTGGCAGCCCCCAGCCCTCTGAGCCTGGGGCATCTGAGGCTTAGTAGATGTAATGGTGAAGACCTCAGGCTCAGAGTTGGATGGCGCTGACTTCAAATCCTGGCTTCATCACTAACTAGCTTTGTGGCCTAGGGTGGATCACTTAATCTCTCTGAACCTTAGATTATATATCTGTAAAGTGGGGATGATGATAATAATAGTACCTGAGTAGGATTGTAAGAATTAAATAAACAACACAGGCGAATGGCTTAGCAGAGTGCCCGAGTCATAGTAAAAATGATGGCTGAGACTGCTGATATTATGCCCTCACTCCCTTACTCTGATATCAGCCATGGCTCCCTAGTGTTGTTGATACAAGGTCAAGGTCCAGAGAAGAGGTTCTGTGGTCTTCATCTGGTCCCCCTCTGGGAAGCCAGAAGAATCTGTCTAACTCACTCCTCTCTTTGTCCCCAGCTTCCAGCCGCACATCGAGGAGTGTGTCAAGCAGATGGGTGACATCCTTAGTCAGGTGAAGGGCACAGGAAATGTGCCAGCCAGTGCCTGCAGCAGTGTGGCCCAGGATGCCGACAACGTGCTGCAACCCATCATGGACCTGTTAGACAGCAAGTGAGCCAGGCTAGTGGACGGGGCTGGAAAGGGAGGGACTAGGGTGCTGGGGCCACAGAAACCTAGGGGCTGACCTGGAGAGTCCTTTGTCTTGCTGGGCGGTAATTGGATGGTTTGATGGGTGGGTGGGTGGAGGCATGAAGGGATGAATGGCTAAAGGGTTGAAGGAAGGGTGGGTAAATGATTGGAAGGATAGATGGATAAATATTTGTATTGTTGGACGGATAGATGACATGAGATGAGTGGGTAGATTAAAAAATAAATGCTTAGGAGAATAGATGGATAAAAAGAATGGATGAGTGGGTGGGTGGATGGATGGATGGATCGGGAGAAGGATAAATTCTTGCAAGGATGGTGGATGGATGGATGGATGGATGGATGGAAGGAAGATGAATGTGTTGAGGGGAAGAGGCTCCGCGGGCTGGGACCAGTCAGACCCTCTCTCAGACCTACCCCTTGCCCGCAGCTTGACTCTCTTTGCCAAAATCTGTGAGAAGACAGTGCTCAAGCGGGTGCTGAAGGAATTATGGAAGTTGGTCATGAACACCATGGAAAAGACCATTGTCCTGCCACCCCTCACTGACCAAACGGTGAGGCCCAGCAGGAGGCCAGAGGGGACACCTGAGCCACCTCCCCTGTGGGAGTCCAGAGAGCTTCGTGCCTAGACACTTCAGGGACCAGACCAAAGGCATTGGGGGTCAAAGAGGTCAGCTAGGCACAAGGGTCATCCAAGGTTCTTAGAGTCCACCAGAGGTCAGTGGGGCCATTCAAAGATCAGAGAGATCACACATGGATCAAGGGTCATCAACAGCTCAAGGAGGTCATTCAGAAGTCAGTCAGGGTTATTCAAAGATTAGAGAAGTCAACTAGAATCAAGAGATGTCTAAGGGACATAGAGGTCACACATGGTGTCAAGGAAATCATTTGAAGGTCAGAGATCACCCAGTAAACAAAGACGTTGGTCTGGGAGCAGAGAGGTCAGCTTGGGAATCAAGGGCATTTATGAGTCATAGAGGTCTTCTAGGGGTCAGCAGGCTTATCAAAGGGCTTTGGGGTCAGTCAAGAGAGAAGGAGGAGAGAGATTATGGACTTCAAAGATCAGAGACCAATAGACCAGAGGGCTCCAGGAGGTCAGCCAGAGGTCACGGAGAGTGTCCAAGGTCCGAGAAGTCAAGCAGAGGTCAGGGGTCATCCAGAGACCAGGAATGTGCATTTGAGACCCTTCAGAAACAGAGACCAAGATCCCCAAAGATCAGGTTGCCAAGTGGAGGCGGGGGAAACCCGCTGATGGTTGGGGGTGGGGGACTGCAACATCATCAGAGGGGTGTGTCTGGGCTGGGGTCCCCAGGTCCTGGCCTGGAGGATCTGGGGAGGGTGGAGGCGTAGGGAGCCTGAGGACAGCGATGGCACACGGGTTGAGACCACAGTATCTTGAGCAGGAGAACGTTCTCGGGTGGATGGGGAAGACTCCAGAGGGCAGGAGTCACAGAGAGGTGACCATGGAGGGGAGACTCAGACCTCCCGCCACCACCGCTTCCTGTGGGCTGCTGCCCTGGGGCCCTCGGTGCTGTCGCCGCCCCCTCCTTGGCCTTCCTGGGAGACTCACGGTGCCTTATTCCCCCCCTCCCCCACCGCCCTGCCCCCACCACGGCTGACAGATGATCGTAAGTAGAGGTCCGTCTGTCCGTCTGTCTGTCCGTCCGCTCTATGTTCTGGACTCGGCCCGCTGCGCGGCTGCACCCCCCTCACCCAGCGCCCCCTTCTCACCCACCGTCCCACCTCTTGCCTAGATGTGCCTGTGTCTGTCTCGGGGCGGGGCATGGGGAGGGGCGGGGCCGGGAGGGAGGGATGCCCTGCCCACCCGCCCCGCCCCCTGATAAGTCGCGCGAGGAGGCGGGACCAGTTCCCCTTCTCAAAACCAGGGGCCCAGCTTCCCATTCGCCTCTGCCCTTTAGTCGGATTCATCCTCATCCTGTGCTTAGATGCCCCCAGGATACCGGGGTCTCTCCCCCAAGCTAAAAGGAGGTGCAGAGTCAAGAGGGCTCCTCTGACCTCCCCTTCAGGCTCTGAACAGTTTGCAGCCCCCCAAAATGCAGGCCCTCACCAAGCTGATCCTTGCTCCCACTTCTGACTCCCCCGAAGTC